GGCTAACGAACTGGTAGACCATTGAGCCACTGGGATTCGATCCAATGGTCCTTGAATTCTAACTTCTGCCAATTCACGATATAGCGCGACCACTTCGAAATGTCTTCTTCGATGAGTTACTGCCTCATCTTCAACCTGCTGTACCCTGTCGGTCACGGCTTCCCACTAGAACCCCAGGTTAACTACCTGAATAGGCCAGTCACTAATGAGCATCAGATTAATTTTCAAGTATTGGTTTTGTAGGGATTTTGTTTGATTGCATGGAGGATTTAATCATGAGCTGACATCAGTTAGAGAACCACTGGAAAACCTAGGATTTGCGATTAACAAACATATTAATATAAACCACATTTACCAACTAATAAAAAGTAAATCACGTGACAAGAAAATTCAAAATCCAAGCCAATAAAAATGATTATCAACAGTGATGTGAATCGACTACCAGTCACGTAGATGTTTACCAGGAGACGCAATTTCATCATTAATGAGGAATTGAAATCAGTTAATTTTATGCTAAAACTTTCGCTGAAGCGATGTTGTCTAGAAGTGGAACGACGAAAGCTTCACAATTAAACGATCAACCCGCTGAGAGAACACAACTAAGTGCAAATCATCCACCTGAGCTACAAATCTTTTCCATTATTTCAAAACTGTAATGTGTATAGGGAATACAAAGTAAATGAACGAATCAGTAGAAATACCACTTATTTACAAGTTTTAAAAAAGACATTCCTAACTGTTGTTCCATTAATTCATCATAGAATGATATTGAATAATAACTTTAAAGTGTATTGATTTATATTGGATTGGATTGGATTGATTTTAGGATTAGATTTCACCACAAACTGACGGACTTCACCTTGTGTGAACCCATCAATGGCGTTGCATATCACATATTGACAGAAGTTAAAATCTACGCATGAATAGTAATGTATGTAAGTGTGTGTGTGTGTATATGTGTCGGTGATCCAGGAGTGACCCACTGGTTTTTAAGACAGAACTTTGCACAAATGTGCAGCAGTTCGAACTACCACACTCCACGTAGTACAGAAAGCAAGAGAAGAGAGTAAAGGGAGGTTAAAACAGAGATATGAGGCAAAAAGAATAGTCATATGGAAGAACAATGTAGTTTTATTGGTTATGATAATTCACAAGAAACGGATGGATCTGTCATTGCATCCAGCCGTCATTGATTTTTATCTTCCCGAGGATCCTAATCAGGAAGCCAGTCTACACCTCCTTACGTGACTGACTGACTGGCTTAAACTAACTGTTGTGGATTTCAATGACTGATGAAGCCATGTTTTGGTTTGACCACGAATAGCTCTTTTCCAACATGATCCATCCTGAATCAGCTAGCATTGTTCATTGCCGAGGCAGGTGATGACTAGGCATGCGTAACACATGTCCTGACCATCTCAATCGGTGTAGCTTCACAACCTCGTCAGTTGATTTCCTCTCCTTACCTAGCACCCGACCGATGCCTAACCTCAATATCGCTCGCCCTATTATACCAATTGACATGGGAGATAGAACGCAGACACCTATGATAACAAACAACTAACGTTTCCATGTCTTCTACGCTTAATGACCATGGTTGCGAATCACACACGTTGTCAGGGTTCGATTTCTGGCCAGTACCTTTCTAAACCTTGGATTGCCCAGTAGTAAACACGAAGGAAATGGAAGGTTGGCCCATTCAACCCTATGATAAGCAACACTACAGCTACTGAAATTTCAAAACTTAAGGTTTGAAGTTTTGTTACACTTAGTGGGACGCAAAAGAGTGTAAAATATGGTAATTTGCTTGTTTCGTAATGTGGATTCGATCTGTGGTAGGCTAATGGGTTGTGTACTGTTTAAGAGTTGCAAACTAAGACTAGACCTCTGTCGAATAGCCCTCCTTCCGATTTTTGAATGTCTGTCTAAATGATGTCTTTTCCTGCCGAAATCTAACCTTATATATGAAATATAGACAGATAAGTAATAGGTTTTTCTTTATCGGTGATGTGGCAGTCGATGTCCGCTCTGAAAATTAACCAATAAGAGCTCGTTTACGTGAGTGATCGATGTCCAGTTTGAAAATGAACCAATCATAAGTGTTCAAGTGTTGGGTTGTAGGGATTTGATTGGTTACAGGATTTCATCATGAGCTGACATTGGTTAAAGAACCATTGGAAAACCTGGGAGTACTGGACAAACGTTTCGTCCAACTAGTTTGAGACTCTTCATCAGCACGCACCCACCACAGGGAGTTCGAACCCAGGGCCTTCTCGTTACAAGGCGAGCTAGCGGTCGCGCTATTCCGTAAATTGGCAGGTGTTAGAATTCATGGACTGGCCGTTGGATCGGGTCCCAGTGGCTTAATGGTATACGAGCTCGCCTTGTGACCAGAAGGTCCTGGGTTCGGACTTCTTGTGGTGTGTGCGTGCTGCTTAAGAGTCCCAAACTAGTTGGACGAAACGGCTGTCCAGTACTCCCAGGTTTTCCAATGGTTCTCTGACTAATGTCAGCTCATTATGAAAACCTGTAACCAATCATAAGTGGCCTACGTAAAATAACGCCCACCAGGATTTTATTGATCATGATTATAGACTAATTGACATATCCTAGGTGATTTTTTGAAAATATAATTCGTAGCTCACATCGTTGTGTGTTCTCGCCCGAATATTACGGGCTAAGGAAATAATTAGCTGTTGTATAACGTTGGTGTAGTTAAGCGATATTTGTGATCACTGACTAACTGGTTTCAACACAGAACTTTACACAGAAATAAAGCAGTTCGAGTTGCCACACTCCATGCAGGACACAAAGTAAAAGAAGAGAGTAAAGAGAAATAACAAACAGAAGTGTGAGTAAGGAAAAAAGAATAGTAATATGGATGAACAATATAGTTTTATTGTATATCACAAATCACAACGAGTAGACGCATCTGCGTTATTCATTGAGAACGATTTTGAGCCATACTACCACCAATTGTCTCCAACTATTAACCCTTACTATCCTGAGAAACCGAACCAGTGAGTCTACAAGGAGCACTGACCTCGTTTACGTGATCTGTATCCAACTCGACGTTCCTATTTCACTGTCAACGTATTGCAAAAGCATAACAATCTATTCAATGAAATTGGAAACTACACATAGTTACAAATTGAACGTCAATCTTGTCATAATTTATGTGGCAGTAACCCATTTGTTTACTATTTGTTTCCAGAACAATTTAAATTCAAATTGTTATGTATAAAATTCAATATGCTTTTGAAATAAAATAAAAAAAGAGAGAAAAAACCACACACAAAGTCAGATCTTTTACGGAATAATAAAAATAATAATCATGTGATGATTGTTGTAATCGATAGATTTTCATTGGACAGTTCAATAATCAATTGGATTCGTCGTGTGTGTATGCGTGATCCGATAAGAAATATTCATATGATCCAGTTCATTCAATCATTAGTGTTATTGTTAATTAGTATTTTGACAGAAATATAAGCGTGTCTTCACTTTGAGATGGATCACCTGATATCGTGAAGTTATGTTAGTTCTTTCGTTGGTGTCTGTCTCACCAAGTGAGCCCCTCCAAGGTGGTTAGTCACACAGTCTTAGGTGATAAAAGAAAAAAAGGAGAAAATCACTTGGATTGATTATAAACTTCCGTGACATGTGTTGTACACGCTGAGATACACTCTGTCGTCTCGTGGACGCGGCGAGAGGGGGGTCGGGCGAAATCTACCCAAATTTGTTCGCATAGGTGGGAGAAACCTATTATTATTATAATTACTATAATACATTTATTTCACTGTATGAGTTTGAATAAAGCAAGAACAAATAAATACAGTGGCTTGTGCAGGATAAGACGATGGTACTATCATTGTTTATTTAGTTGGTTTCTCATCATCAGCCAGTTTCTTAGAGCCCAAAAGCACTTTATTAAGCTTATGTACAGAAACAATTTTAACATACACAAAATCAACATATGCATACAGTTGTATTAGTTGTGTTCTCTGAGGAGCTGGTTGATTTAATTGTGAAGCTTCCGTCATCCATCTAGACAACATCTTCAGCACAGGTTTTAGTATTAAAAAAGATGATAAAACCTGTGCTGAAGATGTTTCGATGGACGACGAGAGCTTCACAATTCAGTTGATCAGCTCCTCAGAGAACATAGCTTATTCAATTTTGCGCATATGTTGATTCTGTGTATGTTAAAATTATTTCTGTACATAAACTTAATAAAGTGATTTTGGGCTCTAAGAAACTGGCTGATGATGAGAAGCCAACGAAATAAAAAAAATGATAGTGCCATTGTCTTATCCTGCACAAACCACTGTATTTGTTCTTGCTTTATTCAAATATTATCATTATTATTTCCGAAGACGCTCCTAACCGACAACCACTAAGCACAGATATAGATAGACTTTAATTCCAAAGCACAATGGATGATAAGAAATTGTATTCTTCGTTTGTTAAAATCAATATTCTGTGCCAATTCTACAAACAAATGTTTGGAGCATGCGGTACTTCGATGATTTTGGCAATTTATTAGGCACCCGGTAGATGATGATAGAGAAGGATTCTTCAACGGTGGCTGGCTTTGTCACCGGCTGGTTTGCATCAGATGGTCCAATATCGAACTGTTAATGGTTTTCACTACACCTTTACTTAGCCATGCTTGGAGATGTTCTCGAGCGAGCACGAAAAATCAAGTTGCTAGAGCAACAACGGCCAATATAACTTGCTCCACCACAGGAGGGCAGTTGAATTGGTAGATACAATTTGAAGTGGCTAGTCTAGTCTAGGTAACTTCATCTTTCAGTCGAGGTAGCACCAACGGTTGTGTAGAGAGAATAATACGTGTAGTTCGCCGCTAGCATTAAAAGTTCTTTGAACTGATTTTCTTAATCTCCTCGTAATTATCTCACTTGATATATATATGCCCCATGATTTGTAGTCGTATATTATAAAGAGGCTTTTGCGTTGCTTTTTCTTTTTCTGTACAGTTTTAGCTGCTGATGGTTCCTATTACAAGTATACATTTACAGCGAATGGTACTGTAACACGTGTAACATTTGTGAATTTTCTAGACTTCTACGATGATGAAACAGATTTCTAAGCCTCTTTGATGATACAAAGCTTATATTGGTCTCTGTCTGTCTGTCGCCCTCTTCTACACTCCCTCACTGATTGACTGATTGACCACCACTTACTTATTTTTGCCCCTTTTCTTTTGTGGCCAACTGACGAGATATGATATAAAATATTCTGTGTTATGTGTGTATGCTCTGTCATTTCAAATTAAGCACCTATTTTGTGTAGGCGTATTGCTGATATAGACTAACAACTTAGATATATATATCTATTTTTGGATTCTACTGAAATTTGATGTGAATAGTCTGATGACACCTAATGTCAATCCTTTATCAGCTGATAATGATGATGAACAACTACCTGTTAACCAGTTGGAATGTCACCAACCTCATCGTGATGCCTCAGTCTTCAGCTTTGTTTTCTTTTTTTTTATTATTTGGTTATGCTTTTCATCTTTTCTGATATCACATGTACGTATATGTGTGTGCGTGTCTGTCTGTATGTATGTATGTATGTGTGTACGTGCTTGTGTGCTTTGTCATTGATTCTACTTTCTCCTTCTCCTCTAATGACCCAATGTGATTAAAAATGATGAACTGGAAAATGAGATTTAGCCTCCTTGTTTTGATTTGCCTTTATATTTTGCTGTTTTTGACTTTTTTTCGGTGATGTTTCCCTTCTTTTGTATCACTTTCTTAGTTGTCTACTGATTGTGATTGATTTTATCAATAATCTATGGTCAAAAATGGTATTATTATGATTATCATTATTATTATGTAATATGTACACAGTAATGTGACTACTGTATGTGTGTGTGTGCCTGTTTGTATCCTTTGTATTGATTATTGTTTGATCCACTGGAGAAAAAAAGATAACAATCTTTGCTTCGCAAACTGATCCGAATGTATTGTATTGTATTTATAAGTATTATTCTTGTAATAATTTTTCTTTCTTGATTTTCAGAAAATATGTTTTTGCGTTTGTTGTCTTTTTCTTCTGTGATCTGACTCTCTGTCTCGTGGTTGTAACAGTTTGATTAGTTCGAATTTCCTGTGATTTTGTTAGCGAAGCAGCAACGTCTTCTGATTGGTTGTTTTCTCGCTGGAGGTTATTCTCTACTGTTTGTGATCGTTTCTCAGAAAGTTAAGCCATTTATATCTGCGAATCGCATTTGCACACCTTAAGTCTGCTGTGATTGGTTGTTGAGTTCTTCATGGTTAAGCTTTGTTAATATGCCTTTCTCATGGCTACGATTCGGGACGTAACATTGACGTAAATTGCTGTCTACAATTTCGGTTTGCAGCCAGCTGTGACCACATTATTACTTTAGGTACTGAGTAGAGAATAGACAGCTTAAGGAATACATTCTCTTGCTTCACTCGAATCTGTGCACTCCTTTATAGCTGACTCCATGATTGCCCATTAGCTGTCATCTCTTCTTCACACGATCTTCTTGATTGTCACACTTGTGCCGATGCTCAACTCATCTCGTCTCTTATATGAGTCCTACTCTAGGTTATGTCTGGCGCGTGATGTCACTCAAAGGCCTACTCGATGTGTGTTCATTCCGTGGTCTCCATTTCTTTCAGCAGATTTGTTGGGTGATTGGTCCGTTCACAGAGTTTCTTTCTGTCTGGTCATCTGATCTTCAGTATGGAGTCAGTGACGGCAACTGTTGATGAATGTTTACAATAACCTCTTGGTTGGTTATCTTCGTCACTAACCAACAACAGCAACATCTAGCGTCAATCACCATCAATGGGGGGATTTGAAAGAGGTTACTTCATTCACTTATCTAGCATTGAGCATTGTCTCAACTACAGGCAGTCAACACGGACGAGGATGTCAAATCGAGCGAGAATCGGGAAGGCGAGAAACACATTCATCAAAATCGCATCACAAAAATCACCAACAAGAAACTATGGGAAGGAAAAAACAAAACGAGAACCAATCGCCCAATAACAACAAATATGCAGGAGATTTAAAGTGGAGACACTCAGTAGACACTTGTGGCTGAGGAGGCCGCTGGATGACCTCGCGCGCGCACCAGGCCATTGCTCGAGTGGAACCAGGCCGAAAGGGAAGCGGGAAGTAGGACGTCAGTGCAAGGGTGACATGGAGGAGATAGTGTGAAGAGGAGTTGAAGCAGTATGCACCAGCATGGATGCAGGTGAAAAGTACAGCAGAGGGAAGACAGAAGTGGCAAGTGCAGACGTGAAGTTGAAGCCTTATGTTCCACTAGGAACCCAAGGGAATAATAATAAACTGTTTTGACTTGAAGTCTTGTTTTTGCTGCTTCTTCTGTCAGTTTGTTGGTTTCGCACCTGTGAGTGTTGGAGTTTGTGTCATGTTACACGTAAATGATCCATACGCGGAATCCAGATCTACTGTAGTCTTCATATCGGTCCAACATATTCCTGTCTTCTCGCTCCCTATGTACGGTCTGTCGCTATAATCCAGTCTATCACAATGGGGAATATCATTGGTGGTTGCATAACTAAAACATTATGAGAATTGAAGGACTTCGGTGTTTATTTTTGCTATTACTATTCCCTTGGGCACCGGATGGAGCATAAAGCTTCAACAACGAATCTTTATTTCACTTAATTGACTTTACAATCTCCCCTGAGCTTTCATCTCCATGAGACCTACTCCCAACTCGTCCTTTCCCATCCAGATTTCACTCGACGGTTTTCTCAGCACGTTTCCCATCCATCTGTTGAGCAGGAGGTTGGTGATTATTTCGCAGGCAGAGTTCCTTGTTGCTTATCTGTCCATGCCGTCTGATCTTCATTATCAACCCAGTGGGGGCAATCGCTGATAAAAAAATCTTTAGTTTGTTGGTAGTGCTTTACGTTATGAGTTAAGTCTTAGAACTTTTCATGATCAAACGGGCTGGTTGTGTTATGAATGCAGGAAGCTGATCTTTGCCCACTACTGTGTGTGCATAGTTGACACAAATTCTTCGAGACACCACGTACAGTCAGAAAACTCTTCAAAGACAGCAAAAAGGCGATTGTTTATGGTTTGGAACTATGTGTGCATCTATTCAACAATAATCAAAAACTCGAAATCACCTTAACAGTGCCGTTAGGTAGCGATAAAGTCAAGAGAAATTGATAAGTACAACACAAGTACTGTAGAATAACATTAATTAACCAAAATCCAAATGTAAGAAGTACCTTAAGATTCAAGGAGAACATTCCCAACAAGGTGAGATCAAAACTCTGTCATAATAAGAATCATGCACCAAACAGTCCCTGCAGACAGTCCAAGATCAGAATAACCTGTGTTCGCTGAAACAAAATTGCAGTCGCAAAAAACACATTATCAATATCACCACACAATCAGAAAGAGAAGCATTGAAATATATGTGTAACACATGGGCACTGTGGTAGTAAGTAATTCCATATTGGTTTGTACCACTCAGTGAAACAGTATTGTCGTTTCCTGGATGACGACGTTTTGAACAAAATTTATTGTTCATAATCATATCATCAATTTTAACCACACGAGTTTGAAACTTGAGTTTTATAGTTTTCTTTGTCTTCTCCTATTTGTCGTCCTAGGGGTATCCTATGTCAGTAAAAATAGGATTGGTGAAATGTTTAAATGACAGAGCACAAAAGCTAAGCAGTACCAAGGAAAATCTAAAACAGGAAGTGAGACACATAAAAGAAGCCTTGAAACTTATAATTACCCTGATAAATTAGTCAGGAAATATGTAAAGAAATGTAGAAATAAAGTAAATAATGATAGTTGTGATAGTGATAATAATAATAGTAATAATGACGACATGCATCTCAAATCTGTACAAAATGATGACAACACCAACAAGAGGGAATCTAAGTCATCAGTAGTAATTCCATACAAGGAAGAAACCCCGGAAACCACTTTACGCAGGATTCTTAACAAGGCAGGAATAAAAGTGACTGGCATTCAAACTGCTCACAAACTCAATTAGAAACAAGCTTTGTCGGATCAATGGATTCTATGGAGCTTTTAAAACAAAACAGTTTTGTTTATCTAATACCCTGCTGGAATGATTGCCAGGTCAAATAGATACGTCAAACTAGTAGAACAGGGGTAGTCAGTCAGACTAGCCGAACATAAAAACCTAGCAAAAACTAGATTGGTTGACCCGAATAAGATAAGAAATCTAGAGAATAGTTCAGCTATAGCACTCACGAAATGCAATTACACACAACCATACAATAGGCTGGATAGGATAAGATGACAGTTTTAAAATGTAATGTAACAAGGGGGTGTAAGGAGAGATTGATAACAACGGAAGCTTTGTTTATCGAATCAACTGCAAATACGTGTAATAGGAATGATTCAACACCTGTCCACCCAGATATCTGGAAAATTCTACTACCCCAGTGACGATAAATAGGAGAAGACAAAGAAAACTATAAAACTCAAGTTTCATAGTCGTGTGATTACAATTGATGATATGAGCATGAACAATAGTTAATTTTGTTCGAAACGTTGTCATCCAGTAAATAATATGGAGAAGAAGCATTAAAATCAGAGCTTAAACAGGAGCAAAGAAAAGCAATGAGGATAAAGTCAGTAGGTGATATGCAAGTGTCAGGACAATTATATACAACAATATAATAGAAAAATGGATGATAATTATAAAGTTGTATATATAAGATTTTATTTTGATAAATCATAAACAGTAATATTAACTGATGCGACCACGTTTCGAGCACAAATTATTCGTGCTCACAATCATATCAAGGCACTACTCACACAACTATCCTGCTTCTGTTATATTCATGAGTAAAAGCTGATGTTTGGACATTTGAATAAAATCAGTATAAGATAATGTACATTCAGAAATAATAATAATATGAGTGTTATCAATCAAATACAGTTAGTTGGGAAATAAGACGAGTGTTTTTATAGTAAAATAAATGAATAACTTGTTATAATGTGAATTGATGCAATACATTTTAACATTATTTATTATCCTCCTCCGATTTGACTGGTGGTAATAATATCTTCCATATCTCTGGG